TTTCACTTAGTGACATGTGCTTAAGGTCCCTCCATGTCTCTTCGGGGATCAGCAGCTCAGCTCAGTTCTGTTCAGCACAGTGTTCAGTACCTGAGAGCCCTGTGGATTCTCTAGTCACCTGCTGGATGTGTGGAAGAGGCTTCTGCCTTGTGCCAAATGCATCATGCCGGTGTTGGGTCAGGGGAGGCAAAGATGAACCTGACCTGACTCTCCCTTCCAAGGCCTTTCCTGTCTGGGAAAGTTGACAGACAGGAAGCAATGATCCTTCAGCATGCAGGTCTCATGAGGTGCTTGACACACGAAGCTGGGAATGGTGGCTCTCAGCTTGGAGGAAATCCTGGAGGACTTTCCAGAGGCAGAGGCAAGGAGGCGGCTCTTAAGGAAAGTGTGGAAGAGACAGGGACGCCTTCAACTCCCACTCCAAAGAGCCTGTGTCCACAAGTAACAACACAACTCAGAAGCAGCCACCAGGATCTGTGACCCTCCACACTGGAGCTGGGGGAGGGGTCGGAGACACTGAGGGTTGACAGGCACTAAAGAGCAAGTGTGGATGTCCAGCAGTGAAGCCAGTGGTGTCTGATAAAGTCGGATGTGCTGATACCTTGTCAGCTGATCATTCTGGAAGATACAAAGGGCGTTCACATTCCTCTGAGTAGCCTCATTCCTTGGCCTTGCCCTGGGAGCCCTTCAGCTCTTGGAAGCCCCTCTCTCCAAAATCAGACTCCAGTGGGGCAGGGGGAGGTGCTCCAGGTCTTATGGAATGTCTTCTTGCTCAAATGCTCTTAAGAGAGCAATCCTCTGATGGGACGGCCGAGGGTATAGTCCCTGGCATGTACCTAGCCAAACTCACCAGGAGAGGCAGTTGTGGGGACCCTGGCTAGGCTGACTGAGGCTGTTGGGATGTCTGGGAGTAATTTGTACTCACCAAAGGCATTTAAGAATCAAACGTCCTGCATCCCCGTAATCTAGTCTCATGTGAACTCCGGGGTTGTGCTGTGCTGCACACCCTGCCCCCTGTTCCCGTGGTGGGGAGCTACCATGTGTAGGAACCTTGGGTTACCTATGAAGTAGGCTCCATGATGGTTTTGTGGAAATGTCTGAAGGCATGAGCAGACCCTTAGATCACAGCCTAAGCATGTTTAGTAGGTCTGGAGAAAAGTGGAATGCTGAAAAGGAGGGAGGGAGGATGGGGCAGGCTGCTGCAGTTGCTGGTGACTTGCTGCTGCACACAGCCTGGGCTGGGGCCAGGGATGCGGATCTGTGCCCATCTTGGCCTGAGCCGCCCCAGTGAAGAGGACAGGAGATGCCCGTCCCAGAAGCGCCTGGGCCCTTGGTGGTTTTGTCTGGGTAATTTATTATTTGGAAAGATTGTTTTTCCTTAGTAATTGTGTGCTCCTAGCTGCCAGCTGTCTTTGACCTTCAAGGACAGCTTGTTCAGTTTTGTTTTGGGTGTTTTTGCCTTCAGAGTGAGTTTTAGGGAGGCAGGGACACTGGTTGAGCCACACCCAACCCCTGTATCCTGGGGACCCCTCCTCTGCCAGCATCCAGCACCCTGCTCCCTTGTAGCATGGAACAGTCAGGGCCTCTGTTTCCCATCCAGAACACTGGGCTCAGTCTGCACAGGCTAGCCGGTCAGAACAACCCTTGTCCTGTCTTGGGGCTGTGTGGAGGAAACCCTGGGCATTGCCTCAGTGCTGTTCCTGATGCCTTCCTGCCCCTCTGGCACTCACAGGGGTCCTGTCCCTGAGCCTCAGGTTGTGAGACGGACAAAGGAAGGTCCCCTCTGGAAAGCACTGACAGGCAAGAGATGAGAACAAAGAGGAAGTAAGTAGGTTGCCCAGCCTCTCGTGGATACACTGACCTTGCTGTTCCATAGCTGCCTCAGATGCTGGGAATGAATCCCACCAGGAGACAAAAAGCCCATATATCAAATCAACCAGTTCACCAGCGAGGAGGGACAATTCCTGTACTGAGAGATCTGCATTCACAGAACAGGTCTGCCTTGACCACAAGAGGGCAGCACCACTGCCAGACCTACAGCCTGAGGCCCAGGAGGATCCAGGCTGTCCCAGGGGACAGGGTGGGATCCACCTAGCAGATCTACACTTAAAATAGCCCTCCCTTCAAACCACATGCATTTCCAGTAACCTGGGAATTGATGCTGGGGATGGAACCTGGGGCCTCTTGTATGCCGGGCAAATGCTCCACCACTGAGCTATGCCCACAAATTCCTGAAAATGGCTCTGGTCATTGTTTGTGGAACACTTGTGTTTGCTGCACTGGTTGCTAGGCAAACCCCTTTGCCCTTGATCCTGGCTTCCCCCAGGGCCAGGTGATGTGAGCAGAGGGTGGGTGGATGGCCAGGACAGATGGAAGGACAGATAGAAGGCAGTGGGTGGGTGGATACACAGGACAGATGAACCGACAGAAGGCAGTAGGTGGGTAGATGGACAGAACAAATGGAATAACAGACAGACTCAGGGAGGAGGTGTAGGGACTCTTTCCACATCTCGGCCCTTAAGAGGCAGAGTTGAGGCTATGTCCCAGGCCAGCGTTCCCCACAGCTTGTGGGAGCTCCAGATCTGAAACCCACTTCTTGCTTACCCTGGCCTTGAGCCAGATTCCAGCTGTATAATCAATCCCTGCCTTTTGTGATGACATGGAGATATAGCCCATTGTCCTTTGTGTCCTGAACTGAGAGAACCTAACAGATCTGGAGAGCCACCCCACCCTGCATCTCTGAGCTCAGACATGACCTGGGTGACTTTCAAGGACGTCACCTACAGGAATCACCAATGGTCTGACCATGTACAGCTATGAGTACATCCAGCTGTGGTTCCTACCCTCAGCTGGAAGATGCAAGACCTGGCTACATTCAGCCTCTCAAAGTCCAGTTGGAGGCCCCAGTTTTCTACCCTCCATTAGTTTCTATAGTAGTAAATGTGGGGGGGGGTGTGTTCTGCTCTGATTCTGTAGAGGAGGGGTGGAGGACAAGTTGTGGCAGATACCCCACTGTTGCCAGGCACAGGCACAGAGGCAGAAGGTCAGCACTGCATAAAAGAAGACTGGCTGTACAAGGTGGCAAGGGCTGCTTCACAAAGCTATAGAGGGGCCACTACCATCACTGTGGCTGGAAGTGTCACAGGTCACAGGGGTGTGGGAAAGTACCCTGGGAGGCTGAGGTGGGTCCCATGGATGCCATTGGCCTGGGAAACTGAGGTATCACCTCAAGGCAGGTGTCTGAGTGGCAGGTTAGGGGCCATTTGACTTTTCTGGCTGGTTCTAGGTTAGAGGCAGAGGCAAACAGGGCAGCTGTGGGTAGGCAGTCATGTCCTGTACTGTGGACCCTGTTGCTAAGCAGTGGTTTAGCCTCAGGGATATCACTGGAGATGGTGCCTGCCCTTCTGCAGGCTAACTGTGGTAGGTTTGCCTCTGGCTGTGTGGTGGGTGTGGCTGGGCCCTGGTAGGTGGCTATAGGCTGTGGTCCAGGCTCCATGCCAATGGTCTCTGGCCGTCGCTATGTATGATGGTTCAGATGGTAGCCAGCTGAGCATACTCAGCACAAGGCCTGTCTGGGGAAGCTTGAGGGCTGCTGCTGGTGGTGGATCTGCTCTAACTAGAGGAGAGGGAGGGGCAGATAGACCGTGCTTGTCCCGGTCTTCTGCATCATCAGCCCATGGGAAAAACCTCTGTGACTATTGCAATAAATGGCTACAAGCTGAGTGGTGCTGGAGGACAGAGGTCGAGCAGGCTGTGCTGGGTGGAAGCTGGACTGTGACTTTCCCTTCTGTAGCTGTGGGTGGAGCCCTCACCTCACCTCACCTTGACCAGTATCTGGAGGTGCTGGCTCTCCTTGGCTCATGGTCCTTCCTTGTCAATCTCAGCAACGCTGTCCTTCTCTGGCCTCTTCCTTGGTCATGTCTCCTCTGACTACCCAGGAAAGTCCTCTGATGACATGGGACATACTGAATAGCCAGCAGCCTCTCCTTTGCCTCCTCAGTCCTTGCCTGAGTTCCAGGGACCCCCAGTCCTGGGCTCTGCTCGCCTGAAAGTGTCGTCTTGCTGTGTGTTGACTGAAGTGCAATCTGTCTAGACCAGGCCTTGGCAGCCCCTCCCTCTGTCCACAGACTCGTGACCCCTGTGTGGTGATCTAGGCCTGTGGTTCAGCAGCTCCCCCAACCCATTCACTCTTCTCACCTAGAAACTTGGGCAGTTCCCCCTTGAGAGCCTCCCAGATGCCTCTGTCACCTGGGTGTTGCTGCCACAGGGTTGGTGAGTGGCAGACCTGAAGTTTTCCTGCCATGGCCTGACATCATTGAGTGATTAACAGGTCATGGGGAGGGGCACATGGTTGTATCTGGTCCTGGTTCCCTGGAAATATTGCTCTGACCCTTGAACCAGTAGCTTCCAGTGCCTCCTTCAACACCCCACCCACGCTGTAGCTAACTCTAAGGGGTCTGCAACAATATTCAGGCTGAGGTCCCAGGACCCAGAGGAAATGTGAAGCCAGCTCCCAAGAGGACTGTGGCTGTTCTCACAGAGGACGATGCTGGTCTCTGGCGCTACAAGGCTACTGAGTTGGCTGGAGAGAGGTGTCCTTCTAATAGCCTAGGTGTCAAGGTTGTATGTACCTGGTAGACATAGCAGGGGTTGGTTGGCCTTCAGGAGGGAGCACCAGTGGCCTTGCCACCCCAGCAGTGTACACAGAGATATATTAGACATCATAGCCATGCATGTGGAGATGGAGACAAGACAGCTCCCTGGGTAGGGAAGCCAAAAACCAGAGCCTATACTGAGGTTTCCAGATATCCCTGGCCCTCAGGGCCACCACCTCTCACAAGATCTCAGTCTTACTTGTCTCTAGACAGAAGGAGAGGATGGCTCATCACCTCATGCCCTGTGGGGCTGGCGCTGTTACTGAAAGGCATGCTGGGAGGCCTCCTGCTTGCTTGCCTGATGCTGTGCACCCTGGCTTTAACCTGGCTCCTTTCTTCCAACAGTGTCGCAGCCCCAGGCTGCTCACACCCCCCTGGAGAAGCCGTCCAGCACAGCAATCCTGTGCAACACATGTGGAAATGTGTGCAAAGGCGAGGTGCTGCGTGTGCAGAACAAGTACTTCCATATCAAGTGCTTCGTCTGCAAAGGTAAGCAAGTGTGCCTGGCCCTGTGCCTGGCCACAGTGTTGCCAAACTGGGCCTCCAGCTGCCCTTCTGAGCCCTAAGGAGAGGCCTGGGAAGCTCTGTTCACACCTGAGCAGCGGGAGAGAGCTGAGTCACAGTGTGTACTTTCCAGAATATCACATTACCTGCTGTGACAAAGGAATCCATTTGGGGGGCTGGCAAGGCTCTGGGTCCAGAGGGGCCGATGCCCGAGGCTGATCCAGACTCAGAGGTTCCAGTCCTGGGGCCACAGGGTTTACCCTGCAGCCCAGAGGGTCAGTGTTCTTTGCTGGCTGTGCAGTCATTAGCAGAGTTCAGGGATCTTTGCTGAGCCAGATGCTGCACCCCACCCTTGGTAGCACTGAGAGCATTACCTAAACAGAGCAGAATTTGTTTTGCTTGTAAAAAGTAGCATAAAAGATACAATGAAACCTAAACACTACCAAGAAGGTGAAGAGTGGGGCAGAACCAGTGAGGGCAGCCCTCCAGTGGACGTGGCCAGCCTTGGAGCCTCCTCCTGCCCTGCATTCCATGCGGACAGTGGAACCAAGCACACCTCCATCCAACATCCCAGAAATAGGAGAAAAATAATACCCTCAGAGTCCGGCGGGCAGAGCTTGCCAATCAGGTGCCGTGTCTAGACCCACAGAGCTGGCAGTCCTAAAAAGACCCTGTTTGGGGGCCACAGATACCTCTGTGCAGCTTGGGCCTATGCACACACAGTCCTGGGTGACTGCTGGGTCCTCCTGGGCCGCTCAGAGATTCATACTGCCTTTACTGTAGTGACCTTTGATGAAGGAGGGGATGGTGAAGGTTTGCTGTTCAGGGAAAAACAGTAGAGGCCAAGTACTTGAGACATGGTAGTCCACAAGGGAGGATTCAGAGGCTTCCAGAAAGGAATCCAAAGAGAAAGTGGGACTTGGCTATAACTTGAAGACAGTAGAAATCCCACCAGGCAGGAGCAAGGGACCAGCCCAGAGCAGCTGTGGTGAAGGGCTATGACTGTCTTCAGAGAAGGGAGGCAGATCTGAGAGCATCTGCGGTTTTGAGTCCAGGTTCTTCTGTGGCCCCTGAACCTACAGGGGAGCCTGGGCTTCCTGGGTGCGGGAAAGGACACCTGAGGGCTCAGCTAAGCCCCGCTACACCCTTTGTGGAGTTCCTCCCCCTTCCACTCAGGTCCCCTGGCTTGGCAAGTGTATAGTAAGTTCTGGTGTTTACCATGCGAAACTGAAAACCATAGCACAGCCCATGCTATCTACAGAAAGAGGCATCCCCCAAACACCTCTGGTACTGCCAGCCCTGGAAGACCATCCACAGATGGCAGTGACAGGGACACCCTGAGCCAGTTCTTTTTCACTCTGGGATCCCAAGGGAGCTACCTTCAGCCGAGGCAAACCCCAGCCCCACCCCTTAAGAGTCTCCATCCCAGGGCACAGGCAACTGTCAGGGACATCACTGAGGGTCAGTGGATACCCCAGGAGCTACCAGGATTGAGGGGGTCCTGGGCATCCCCACCACCTCTACCCAGATACTTTTTTCTATGGTTTCCCATCTTCCTAGGTCCCTACAGTCATACCTGAGGAAGGCGGCCAGAATCCTAGGGTTAGTGATGGACCTGGGATGGCAACTAGGGCTATTTGAAAGAAGAGTGACATGCATACCTCACTCCTGGCACACCCAGGTGGACCCATGTCCTGAGCCCCACAGAGCTGGAATGAGTTGGGGGTGTTTGGGGCCAGCCCACACTGTTGCCTTACACAGCTCCTAACTGTACATTCCTAGGCACTGCGTCCATGACTTTCAGCCCCAAAGAAAAGGACATGTCAGCTTTAGGGGACTTCCCTAAGGAGAGTGGCAACTGCTGACCCCACTATGACCATCCTCCCCCAGTTATAGTAAGTTCTGGTGTTTACCACAAGAAACTGAAAACCATAGCACAGCCCATGCTATCTACAGAAAGAGGCATCCCCCAAACACCTCTGGTACTGCCAGCCCTGGAAGACCATCCACAGATGAAATGTGGGACCCATTGGGGCAGTGACAGGGACACCCTGAGCCAGTTCTGTTTCACTCTGGGATCCCAAGGGAGCTACCTTGGGGTGTCGCCAAGGGAAGCATTTCTTTCAGAATGAGGCAGGAGGGACAGAGGAACAGGGGAGCCTGTGCATCCTGTAGGGACCTTGGCTTTGACATGGAGGGAAAGTACAGAGGTCTGGGTGGACCTTAGGCTTCTGTGGATGTGGGTTGTACCCACACAGGGGCTTAGAGCAGCAGGTACAGCAGTGGGTAGGGATGGGGGTGGAAGGTGGGGTAGGATTCCAAGGTAATAGCAGGGGCCCAGGCTAAAGGGAAGGTGGCCTGACTTGGGGTGCGGCTGTCTGATTCTGGGAGGCCATTGAAGAGCAGCTGGCCCTGTCCATACTGCAGAATGGGATTAGACAATGTAGGGTCTTTAAAAATAAAAACTGTTCCATTGACGAGTTTGGCCAGGAACTCATAGAGCTCTACCTGCCTCAGCCTCCCAAGAGCCAGCACGCCCAGATAACTATGACTTTTTAGCCTATATGTCATGTCCTGGGGACACTGCAGTGTGTGACCAGAGGAGAAACAAGAAACTGGGCTGGGGTAGGGTAGGAGTCATGAGATGTGCTGTGACTTGGTGGCCTACAATGGTTGACCCCCTGGAGACACACACACACACACACATACTCACATACACACACACGTCAGGGATAAGCATAGTGCCCACAGAACCACCCTGTGCCATCTGGGAATGACCAGGCATTATGGGATGCCCCGAGGGTGTGCAGGAAGAGGTCCTAGCTTCCAGGACAGAGTACCTGATGGGTGGGCTTGGTCCTCTGGCTAGAGCACACCATGTCTGTCACAGCATGGTCCTCAGGAGGCTGCCAGGTAGGCAGTGGCATGGCAGGGCTGCAGAAATCAGGCAGGGAGGGACCTTGGGCACCGCCCTCAGTTCATACGTAAGGGAAGCTCCAGGCCTCAACATAGGTGTTGACAGTAACAGACACTCCCACCCCCCTACTGCCATGTTAGACAGAGCTGGAGGGCGTGGGAGCCAGAACACACTCCGTGGTTTCCACTACCTTTAGGCTCACGCTCCTTGATCTTGCCCTCCGAGTCTTTTGAAATGTGGAGATATGCCATGTGCATAAGTTGTATCCTGATTTTTTGGGGGGGTGGTCTTTTTGAGACAGGGTCTCCCTGTAGCCCCAGTTGTCCTGGAACTCACTATGTAGACCAGGCTGGCCTTGAACTCACAGAGATCCACCTGCCGCTGCCAGTGCTGGGATTAAAGGCGTGCGCCACCATGCCTGGCTGTATCCTGATTTTTAAGATTCTTTCTTCAAACTCCCAACATTCATCTTACTACTGGCCCAGGTGCCTTCAAAGTCATGGCCATGGTACCTGGAGTCCCTTCTCCATCATGGACAGTTACCTTATCTCCAGCCAGATGCTCTACTGACTGAATTTTGTGCATTATCTCATTTATTTTTTCCTGATCATTATGTAAGGTTGGTGTTAATTCCACTGGTGAGGACCTGAGGTTCAGAGAGGTAAAGTAACTTGCCCAGTGTCACACAGCTGGGCCATGTCAGGATGAAGATGGAAACTCTCGCTCCCTACCTCAATGCTGGGTGTTCACTGGTACATGACCTTGTGGGGAGGCTGCTGCAGGACCAGGTCCATTGCCTCGGGGTACATCCCAGAAGACTGGCGTGAGTGGGCAAGAGCAGTTGTTCTTGAGCCAGAGCGAAGCAGAATTCCAGGAGGTGGGCTGGGGAGATGGCTCAGTCAGCAAGTGTTTGGTGTATAAACACGGGGACCTGAATTCAGATCCTCAGCACCCTTGTAAAAGCCATGTGTGGTGGGTGGTAGTTCAGGACTGAATCCCAGTGCTGGCCAGGAAGGCAGAGACAGGCAAATCCAATCAACCCAGGTTCAGTGCAAGGCCCTCTCTCAAAGAATAACGTGAAGAGCAATTGAGGGAGACACCTGATGTTGAACTCTGGCCTCCATATGCACATGCATACATGTATACACACATGTACATAAACACATATATAAACCCTACCCATATATACCCCCAAATTAAAAAGAATTCTGCAGGGTGTGGTGGTGCACTGCTTTAATCCTAGCACTCAAGGAGACAGAGGCAGGCAGATCTGTGAGTTCAAGGCCAGCCTGGTCTACATAGTGAGTTCCAGGCCAGCTGGGGAGCTACAGGGAGACCCTGTCTCAAAAAGACTAAAAAAAGTTCTAGTGACCACCAGAAATCAGTAAATATCGTCAGTACCTTCCAATGAGTTAGGCTCTGAAGTAGTTGGGTCAATGAGTTTAGGCTCTGCGTCTCCCCACTAACAGCCCCCCCCCACCCCGTGCACCTACCCTCCAGTCATCTGCTAACTTGATCCACTGCAGATTGTAATGTAATAGCCAAGTGTTGCCTTGATAAAGTGCTCTCGAGTTACTGGTGAACTTGGACTTTTTATTTTTAGGAGCTGTATTCTGGGTTGTCACTGTCTTCAGGTGACCTTGGCGTGCTCATGATAGCTGGAATCTGGCGGCAGCTGAGGCAGCAGGGCCAGGAGTAGGTCCAGGCTTGTGGGGCAGCCAGGGCAGGACAGCTGTCTGTGTCCCTCTCCCTGTGGTGTGGCTAATCCGATTCTGTGGCCCTGGCCATGGCATACAGCTGTACAAGCAGACACAGCACAGTGTCAGCACCACTCGTGCCCTTGACCATCTTGTCCCCATGGCACTGTAGGAAAATCCTGCGCTGATCAGCCAGCCCCATGGCCTGTTCTTGCAGTTAGGATACATTTATGTGATGTATGGTGGAACAAGATTAGACCTCAGGCTTTCATTCCCAGCCTGGGTGTGGAGAAGGAATCAGGTTGGTGCCAGACTGGCATCTAGCCTCTGGTCAAAGTGGTGGCGGCAGCAGCCACGGACTCAGGCAGTGGTCTGGCAGAGTCTGGCAGATTCTGTGCCGTTCTTGGCAGGCCCAGAGGGGGTGAGGAGCATGCCTGGGGCACAATGTGCAGGGCAGGGCAGGGCGGGGCTGGGCTCACAGCAGGTGGCTCTGATGGACCTCTCAGCCACGCTATGCAGGCCTCCCATCAGCAAGAGCCAGTGGCCCCCTGGAGTGAAGGATTTCTGGCTGCCACATTGGTCATAACTGGAGCTTGGTGGTGGATTTATAAAGGGATAACATGGTCTAGCTTTGACATTGGTGTTCCTCTGTGGGTGTGAGAGCACATACACACACACACACACACACAGTGATCTTGTGCATTTGTGTGGTGGGCCCTTCCTGCTATATACCAAAGACTGTAGCTCTGCATCCAGTTAGCAGTGTCATGGAAATTTCTAGGTGACAACTTCTAGCTCCTATAAGGCTGTCAAGGTTTTGTGAAACTCAGGCTTAGGGGCCACTGAGCTGTCTAGTCTGTCAGGGTAGGGACTGGCCAGCCCACTAGCAGGGCCCAGGAGTTTCCTTTGGGAATCCAGCAGGCCTACCAGGGCACACTGTAGGCTGCTTCCTCAGTGATGGCACATGGCTCCCACATGTCCTCAGGGCTGGAGGGTGTATGTGAGGGAGGAGCAACACTGTGTCCCCAAAAGCTGTGTTGGGGCCTCTGTGCTGTTGGTGACAGAAAGTCCCAAGGGTGGATGTGCCATTCCCCACCTGGCAGGTTTCCTCTGCTCTGTCACCCCACCAGGCTCCACAACCTCAGCTTCCTGGAGTTGTGCTAGGAAAAGAAAACAAGTGACTCACGGTGAGACTGTGGGCTCTCCCTCTGCTGCCATTTGGCCATGCCACAGGGATGAGGGGTCAGAGGTTGAGGCCCGTTCTCTACCTATCAGAGGGCTGTAGGAACTCAGATAAAAGGGGAAGGTGTTGAGGAGTCTCCATGTAGACTGGGGGGACTAAGCACAGATCACCTGTCTTTAGCTCCAGAGCAGAGCCTAGAGCACAGAAACCGCCCAGGCATTTCACACAAACACTCTGCTTACCTGGTTGCTCAGCTCTGGTACAGGGTCTCAAGGCCTCGTACTTGGAGAGGCCAAGTGCTTCAACCTGCCCCAGCAGGATGGGAAGCAGGGCTGACCATCAGTTCCTTTTTCTGGAAGCTTCCACAAGAAGAATACACCTGTTTCTAGGCTAGTAGGGGAGCTGGTGTCTGTCCCTGGAGCCCGCCCCAGGTATCCTTAGCCACCTGGATTTGTACAGAGGCACTGCACCAGGTGGGCTGGGGTGGGATTGGCCAGTCCCGAGTCACGAGCTGGACACTCCACCACTGACCGGGCCTGTGGTCCTCTCCCCCAGCGTGTGGCTGCGACCTGGCTGAAGGTGGCTTCTTCGTGCGGCAGGGCGAGTACATTTGCACGCGTGACTACCAGCGTCTCTATGGCACACGCTGCTTCAGCTGTGACCGCTTCATTGAGGGTGAGGTAGTGTCTGCACTTGGCAAGACCTACCACCCCGATTGCTTCGTGTGTGCTGTCTGCAGGTGAGTGGCCTGCCCCTGCCCTGCAGGCATCTATCCCTCCCAGTTTCACCACCGCCAGCCCTGGCTCTGCTCCACTTCTATACATCAGGTACAGAGAAAGTCAACAATTTGGCTAGGGTCACTCAGCAGGCCAGAGGCAGAGCTGGCTGTGAGTGCAGGCAAGGGCCAGTCTCGATGCATTATCCCTCTGCCTGTGCCTCCTCCAAGCCTCCCAGCCTCCCCTGAGCTCAGCCCTTCCATAGTCCTCAGCTTCCTCACCCAGCCCCACCCTGGACCCTGCTGTCTTGACCTTGGCCGTCTCTTTTGCTGCTGCAGGCCCTGCTGCCCGTACACCACCCCACAGTACACTCTGGCCGCCTCTGGCCTCCAGGAAGCAGCCCTTGCCGGCCCGGCCGCCCTCGGTCTTGTTTCAGCCCTGCTCTCCTCTGCTTTGCTGGCCATTCTTGCTCACCCGCATCTATAGGCCCAGACTCTAGTCTTTGTGTCATGACCTACAGGTGACTCCCCCGCCCCCGATTCCTCACACATGACTGTCCCCAAATCCACCCAGCCACTGGCTTAGGCCTTTGTAATCAACACTGTTTTAGCCTGTGGTTTCAGAAGTGTCTGTCCAGGCCAGCTGGCTACACAGTGCCTGGGCTGTGGTAAGCCAGAGCATCAAGGTCGCAGAGTATGGTGCAGAGCAGCTCACCTCCTGGCAGCTGGACGCAGAGGAACAGGGCTACACTAGCTAGTGGGTTTTTTCCATCCTCCCTTTAATTCCATTCCCTCTCAGCCTCGGGGGATGGTGCTGCCTGCATTCAGGGTGGCTTTCCTTTCTGGAAAAACCCTCAAGCACAGGGAGAGCTGTTCTGCAGCAATCTCCAGGCCGCTCTCATCCAATCAACCCAACAGTCAAAATGAGCCATCCGTGGGATGAAGACTGCCAGACACTGCACAGTTCCCAGGGGACAAGCTCCCAGCAGAGTGGATGGTTCTTACTGGCCTCACTGATGGGGCTCAAACATCCCTGGAGTAGAGGCTTCTGTGCACAAACTCTTATCAGAGTGAGAGACAAGCCTCCTGGAGCTCATGTAGATCTCCCAGGAGCTGGCAGCCTCCAGAGCAGAGCCTTCCCTAAGGAAGGTGGGAGAGCCCTGTGTCCAACACATAAAGTCTGCAATACCCAACATTCACTCAGAATGTGCAGCCCCTCAAAGTGAGACACTGGCCTGAACTGGAAAGAAGATCAGTCAGCAGCAGGACCAGGGGTGACATTAGCAGACAAGGACTTGAAAACAGCTATGTCCACTGTGCCGGCGTTTAAACGAGACCAGGCCCAGAAGGGGGTGGGGTGTGGTTACAGGACGCACAAGAAGAAACCTTTAGAAGCCTAGAAGCAAAACACCTTGGAAGTGAAAACCCTCTGAAAGGAAGTCGCAGGGATCAAGGAAGAAATGCCTGGCAGTTTTAAAATGGCAGTAGACATTTTGGGCGTGGTGGCACACACCTTTAATCCTAGCGCTCAGGAAGCATTGGCAAGCAGATCCCTGTGAAATCAAGGGCAGCCTAGTCTACATAGCAAGTTCCAGGCCAGCTGGGGCCACAAGGAGACCCTGTTTCAAAAAAACAGGAAAACTCCCCAAACAACCCCCCCCCCAAACCTAACCAAACAACAAAAAAATGTCAGTAGACACTTCCATGCTGGTACACAGGGGATGTGGATGGCGATCCAACTATCTGTCCATTGGTCAGTCTGTCTGTCTGTCTCCCTGTGTGGATAGGGGAGACCAAAAAAATCCTTTCAGAAGTAGTGGATGAAAAATTTCCCCACAATTCAAAACTCTCAGTGACCCTAAGTAGACGAACCGGGGGGCCAAACAACCCCCCCCCCAAAACCTAACCAAACAACAAAAAAATGTCAGTAGACACTTCCATGCTGGTACACAGGGGATGTGGATGGCGATCCAACTATCTGTCCATTGGTCAGTCTGTCTGTCTGTCTCCCTGTGTGGATAGGGGAGACCAAAAAAATCCTTTCAGAAGTAGTGGATGAAAAATTTCCCCACAATTCAAAACTCTCAGTGACCCTAAGTAGACGAACCGGGGGGCTTACCCAGGTGTTCACAGTCAGCCCTAAATGGACTAACCCAGTGGGTACTTACCTAGTATCCCTGAGTAGAGTAACCCTGTAAGACTTTAACTGGTTATTCATAGCCAAAGTGCTAATGGTCCGAGAGCAGAAGAAACCTGAAGACCCCAGGAAGCAGGAAACAAACAACAGAAGTCCTGTCTCTGTCCACAGGGAGGCAAGAAGAGCAAGGCCTCCACCAGACGCTCTGTGTGCTGGGAAACAGTAGGGAGACATCTACGAGTGCTGAAGAGAGAAAACACCACCAAACTACAGCAAACCACAAACAAACAAAAACAAAAAACAAAGAAACAAAAAGCAAGAACTTCTAAAAGTGAAGTCAAGTCCAGACTGTTAAGAGCTAGGGCCTCTTCGGAGGCCAAGTTGACCTTGGTGATTAAAATGACATTTTTTAAATGATGATTAAAACATTCCCAAATCCATCAAGGTGGTGATGCCTCACCTCTGGATCTGGTACACTCTCTGGATGATACATTGTTGCAGGAGGGTAAAGTGATCATTAATACAGCAGCCACACACACAAAAAAAGAGACAAATCTCTTTTAGATATACAACAGCTAAGTGTATTTGTTCCCAGGAGACCTACATGCAGCAGTTAGGGGGAGTTTTGCAGGCCTGTTGAAAGGTATCAACAGAGGGGCTGGAGAGAGTCTCAGGGGTCAAGAGCACTGGCTCTTCTTGCAGAGGACCTGGGTTCAGTTCCCAGCACCCATATGGCCACTAACAACCATCTGTAACTCCAGTTCCAGGGGATCCAATGCCCTTTTCTGTCCTCTGTAGACACCAGACATGCACATGGTACACATACATACATGCAGGTAAAACACTCATACAAATGAAAAATAAATCTTTTAAAAAAAGATGGCTCAGAGGGTAAAGTGCTTGCTGGGAAACCATGAGGACCTGAGTTTGATCCCCAGAACTCCACGTAAAAAACATGGGCTGGAGAGATGGTTCACTGGTTAAGAGCACTTGCTGCTTCTGTAGAGGAGCCGAATTTGGTTCCCAGAACCCTCATTGCATGGTTCACAACTGCCTGCAACTCCAGCTCCAGGGGCTCTGATGCCCACTTCTGGCCTCCTTGGGCACCTGTACACATGGAGTATGCATTCACACAGAAACTCACACATATAAATAAAAAGAAAATAAGAATGATTTTTTTTTAAAGCCTCGACAAAATCTCAAATCAGTCAGGCATAATGGCTCACATGTAATTTCAGCACTGGGGAAGTTGAGGCAGGAGGATCCATAGCTTGAAGGAAGTTCCGCCTCAAAGCAAACAATTGGAAAGTGCAAAGCAACTCGCCGGCTGGTCGAGCGCAGCAAGGGCCTGTAGATCTGATGAAGGACCATGCTGCAGCCTGAATGTAAAATGTTCCCTCAGGCTCAGGCGTTAGAACACTGGTCCCCAGCAGGTGGCCCTGCTTTGTGGACCCTTAGGAGGTGGAGTCTTTCTGGAGGAAGCAGGTGGCTGGATGTGTGGTTAGGTTTGATTAGCCTGGCCTCTCTTCCTATTTACTCTCTACCTCCTGTGGTACAATGTGACCAGCAGCCTCGCTCCTGCCTCATGACTTCCCCATTCTGATGGACCGTATCCCCTTGAGCTGAGAGTTAAAATAAACCCTTCCTTACTTTGCTTCTTGTCAGGTATGTGTCACAGCGATGAGCAAGTCACTGACATAGGCCATGTACCAAATGTGTAAAGAACTTTCACAACTCAGTAAGCAGCAGTTAAACATGGGCAAAAGGGTTTAATAGATACTTCACTGAAGAATATACACAGATGGTCAAGAGATACAGAAACATGCTTAAATTAACATCGTCAGCCACCAGAGACACCAAGATAGCCATGAAATACCCATGGCACCCACTAGCACAGCCACAACACATAGTAGGTAACAGGGCTGGTGAGACTGCGAAGCAAGGGCCATGAAGTGGTACGGTTTCCACAGAGACAGATTCGCTTAGCATGCCACCAGGAAGCCTACTTTGGGTATTGACCCGAGAGAAAGGAGAACGCTTGTGCCCAGAGAGACTTGTCAGCCAGCAAACATCCTATATACAGCCATTTACTCAGACACCTGGGTGCAGGTGGTTGCCAGCACTTTCCACTAAGTTTGCCCACTACACAGATGGATGAGTGGTAGCCCTATGTGCACGTGTCATTAATCAGTCCCAACTTGGAACAGCCCTTCAACAGATGTAGTTTATGCATGCAATGGAGCACGACTCAGCCCTGAAAAGGAACAAACTGGTGACACAAGGAGCAGCAACATGGGCAGATCTGAGAAGCGTCATGCTGAACAGGTCACCCAGATAGCATCCTTCGGATGGGCTCGCGCCAGTAGAGGCAGCCTGATCCTCAGGGGCAATGTGCAGCTCTGGTTTCCTGGGATATGGGTAGTGGGAATGGTGGGAGGGGGCCACGGGGACATTTTGCGGTGGTCAGATGCCCATGGCACAATGCTGGTGATTCCACTGAGTCCATTTTCCAGAACAATCAAAAGTTGCTTCAAGCCTGTAGTCAAATGGATGCTAAGACATAGTAGCTCTCAGACCACAGTGTTGACTGGCAGGTGACAAGCGTGGGCATCCCTGAGCTGCAGGGCATCCAGGACAGCTGAGGGCTGAGAGGGCTGCAGGACCAGCCAGCAAGGCTGGGACCTGGGCCCAGCCCAGTCTGTGTAGGTCCTTGGTCCCCAAGAGGGAAGAATGGCCAGATGGGGCCCAAGGACATGCCTTCTGATGAGCCGGGGGGCGGGGGGTGCTGTACCCTGGACAGAGGTGGCTGCTAGGTGACTGACACTCTCTTTTCAGGCTGCCCTTTCCGCCTGGGGATCGCGTGACCTTCAATGGGAAGGAGTGCATGTGCCAGAAGTGCTGCCCACCCCTGTCACTGGGCAGTGGCGTGCACCCATCCCAGGGCCTCCGGAGTAAGTGGGGCTGGGCTGCCGAGGGGTGGATGCCAAGCCACAGGCAGGGGTGACCTCTGCAGGATGCAGGTTGGGGCCCCTGGCACAGGAGCAGAGTGCTGAATAGTAGGGAAGGGGGCAGGCGCAGAAGTCCCCGGCTCCCATCACTGAGCCTTTGTCACAGGCTGTGCCTGCCACACCAGTGCCACCGCAGCTTTTCTGTCCCATGCCCTCTCCTGTAGCCCAGCTCTAGGCCTCCTCCTTCAGGAAGCCTTCCTTGCCTCCTCCTGTCTTTCTCCTGTGGTGCTGGCACGAGACCAGGTCCATCCTGATGGTAGAGCTGGGCCTGTGTGCACAGGCAGGAAACACGAGGCTCTGGGACCTCCGCTGGGCTCTCACAGTCTGCTAAGGACATACCGTGGCTGGCAAATGGGCAGTATCTGTTACAGGATTGATCTGTCACTGGGGGAGCTGTGCAAGGCTGTGCTGGGCACCAGATGTGTTTACAATGAATACTGTGTTCCCATGACAACACGCCTTATGCACCTTGCAGGGACAGGGATAGGGGAGGCTGTTGTGAGAGCCACTTCATAGAGCCCCAGAGCCCCAGAATCCCCCTGCTGGGCCCAGGCAGAGAAATTGAGATACAGCCCTCCACCCTGGAGTACCAGGTAGGCTGGTGTGTGTGTGTGTGTGTGTGTGTGTGTGTGTGTGAGAGAGAGAGAGAGAGAGAGAGAGAGAGAGAGAGAGAGAGAGAAAGAGAGAGAGAGACAGAGTGACAGGTATGCTTTGAACCCCTCCAGAGGCCCCATCTCTGACCACAGCAGTAGTTGCTAGAGCAGAGGCAGGTCTGCTGGGTAGGTGTCACTTCTTCATATGTTTATTCATTCATGAGACTCGGCCTTCACACCTGGAGCCTGCACTTGTATTCTCACTAGGGACTGGAGCTGTTAATAAAAGGGCCTCCTTCTCCTCAGCACACAGAGGTGATTTGCCCGTGGTCATGCGGCAGGTCTCGGTGACCCCCTCCGCAGAAGGCCTGTCCTCTGACTTTCACTGCAGCCTGGCGTGGTCTCACTTGACTTCCTGTTTACACAAAAGCCAGCCACAGCGCCAAGTGGGCTGTTTAGTCCCCGCACTGTGGGCATTGGGGGCCAGATTTCACTGGGGTGACAGGTGTCCTGAGCAAGGCAGGCTGCCAACATTGCATACCTGGAGTCCTGCCCCCATTTGGAGCCATCCAAAAGGTCTGAAGACCTTGTTAAAAAGTCCCCTGGTTGCACATCATCCCTGCTGGGAGTCGCTGGTGTGGAGCTCACAAAACATGGTGTGGATGGCCCGTGAAGGGACCGCCTAGGCAAAGCCACCATGTACGTACAGCCTGGGAGCCTGCTCCTCTGTGCCTGCCTGTGGTCCTCTGACAAGGGATGCTGGGGGCCACCCGTCTGGAAAGGACCCTTTTCTCTCCCAACTCTCACCCACTCCTTCACTTAATGAGTTCCAGTCAAGCCCTGGCCAGTCCTAGGTGCTCAGGTCCTCAGCCCTGTCTCCCTCAGGACCAGTGACATCTTGGGGTTCAAGTCTGGTTTTGCTTATTTTCCAAATTTCACATAAATTTGAGCAGCATGGTCATTTAGAAAGTCCAGAGTGTCCTGGTACTGCTGTGACAAATACTCTAACTACAAACAACGTGGGGAGGAAAGGGCTTATTGCATCTTATATGTCCAAGTGACAGTCCATTTTTGAGGGACATCAGGCAGAAACTCAGATCAGGAACCTGAGGCAGGAACTGAAGCACAAACCCCAGAGGAATGCAGCTTACTGGCTTATTCCTGTGGCCTGTGCTCAGCCTACTTTCTTATACAACTGCCCAGAGGTTATTAGCAGCATCTCCCACAGTGGGCTGAGCCCTCCCACATCTCTCAACAATCAGGACAATGCCTCACAGAGATGCCACAGACCGATCTGATAGAGGAAATCCCCCAAGTGAGGTGCCCTCTTCCCAGGGTGTCAAGTCCACAGCGGAAACCAACCGTGACACAGAGCTCACCCAACAGTGTTACAAGCCTTGACTTTTTTTTAAATTAAAATTTATTTTATTCCTTTATTCTTTTTTGAGACAAAGTCTCACTATGTATCCCCAGCTGGCTTAGAACTTGTTATGTAGACCAGGCTGGCCTCAATCTCAGCAATTCACCTGCCTCTGTCTCCTGAGTGCCGATATTAAAGGTGTGTGTCACCATATCCAGCAAAATTTATTTTATTCTTAAAAACAATGACTCTGGTCTCTTCCCAAGGACACATGAAACCATGAGCCATGCAGCATCTTTGAGCCCAACCTGCATGCCAGATGGGAGCCTGGTCTACCTAACCCTCCTGCGCAGGACCCCTGTGCTTTAGTCTGTTGGCTGAGCCTGAGCCCTTTGGACACTGGTGCTCCCGAAGGCAACGGGACCTGGTGGCAGACACTTCTCTTTGTCCTTGCTCACCATTAGGCACTCCTGGGTCCTACCTGTGTCACACTCCAACACAACCATGCCCTGCACACAGATATGTTCACCCGTGCACACATGTCTAAATGTTCATACCTGCAGATGCTTATGAATATACATACACACACAGATTTGTGCACACAGACATTATCACAGACACATAGTCACATATGCAAACTTTTACACACAGACTCAGGTACCCAGAGATGTGAGTACATATGCATGTACTCACATACAGTGTATACAACTGGCACTCCGTCTGTGGGTTTTACACCTGTGGATTCATCCTACTATTTGAAAGCAAATTGTGAGTTGGAGATGTAGTTCAGTTGGTAGAATGCTTGCCCTAGCATGCACAGAGCCTTGGGTTCCATCGTCAGTACCACCTAAAACCCAGCGTGGTTGGGTGTACCTGTAAGCCAAGTACTTGGGAGCTAGAGGCAAGAGGTTATTAGGAGTCCTCTTGGATGACTCCAAGAGTCATCCTTGGTTACATAGTGAGTTTGAGGCCAGCCTGGGACCTCATGAGACCCTGTGTCAAAAAACAACACCAACTTTGTATGGAACATGCACAGACACTTCTTTCCTTCCCAGTGAGCACGGTGCAAGTGTTCTTGGTGTCTATGCATCAAGCAGCACCGATCAAAAAAGCTTTAAGCCTGCGGGAGATATATGCCGGTGTGCAAAGGTGGTACCTCTTCCTAGATGGGACCCACCCCTGGGTACTAAGGGCAGTTTTATTTCTACAGCCAACACATAGCACACCTATACACTCTTGTACACAGATGCATACACACACGATGTACACACACACACACACCTATCTTCCCACAGTCACCACTGCACACTCACCCTACACCCATGGAGCTCACCCTGTCAGGTCTCTGCCTGTCCCACTTTGCTGATGGCTCCCACACAACTTTCAGTGAGTGACAGTGAGTGACAGTGGCTGTGGGGGCCCCAGTGTGGCAGTTCCCTGGGTGGAGGGACCATGAATAGCAGAGCAGGTCCAGGTCATGAAGTCCAGGCCCCCAGGAGCATGGAGCAGGGTGGGCACCGCTGGATGGAGGAGGCATGTAGGGAGTCCAGTCAGGGGTCCAGTCTAGGACACTGACCACACAGTGAAGAATGCTGGTCCCCATGGGAAAGGTTGAGAGAAAAGGTAGAAATGGGCAGGGAGGGTACAGAGGGAGACGCTGCTGGGCCAGCAGAATAGGGGCCAGAACAGAGAATCCTAAATGTAAGCACCTCAGACAGCCAGAGGAAGAGCTGGTGTGTGGATCACACAAGGGAATTCCCAGGAGGGGAGCAGGGAGTCCAGGCATGTGAGTATATGGAGCAGGAAGTTGGGCTGACAGGAGAGGATGGGGCTCAGCCCTCCCCAGGGAGATCCACGTCCAGGTGGCAGGATGCCACATTATAGTCAAGTCCAACATCCTGCCTCCAGCAAAGGACATCAGTCACCCAGAGCTGCCCAGGCTCCTGACTGCACAGGCTGCCCTACAAGGCCAGGGCCAATCCAGTACACTTTGGTGAGGTCACAGTTCTGCCCCAGGATGGATGCAAACTTCTGGAAGGCAGGGTCTCATTTCTGCTCGGGGTTCCTCTGCCCCTAGCCTAGGCTGCACAGCTTCAGTGCTCCACATATGCAGGAACATGCCTCACCAGGCACAGTGAGGGGTCCTTCCAGCATGCCACTGTGGCCATCCCCTGCCCCTCTCCTCCAGGGCTGCCCTTGGTGCTTCTGTTGGTCCTTCTGAGGGGGCCTTGTCCCTCTCAGCCACCCTGAGTGCCCTTGGTAGGGTTGCTGGGCTCTGTACTACAAGGCCCCTGAGCCCACAGTGAGGGTGTCTGTGTTTGCTCTTCCAGGTTGTGGGGGCTGCGGCTTAGAGATCACGAATGGCCAGGCCCTGGTGGCTTTGGACAAGCACTGGCACCTAGGCTGCTTCAAGTGCAAGACTTGTGGGAAGCTCCTCAACGCAGAGTACATCAGCAAGTGAGTGGGGTCAGAGCCAGGCCGGGAGGCCAGCTCCACACTGTGGGTGGCTCTGAATAAAGAGCCAGGGCCCGGACCTGTGCAGGTCCCCACACCCTGCATCTTGCCCCCAAGTCCTGCTCAAGGGATTTTGGAGTCTTCTCTTATCTGTGGTTAGAAGCAGAGCAGAGGGACTGTCAGCTCTGACTTCATAGAACACCTGCCCTCTGTTTTGGGATGTCACCTCCTCCCACATGGTGCCTGAATAGTCCTGGCCCAGGGAGTCTGGTGGAGCACAGTACAGCCAGCAGCTGCTAGCCACAGAGGCAGGAAGTCCCCATGACTGGGGATGGATGTTCACAGGCACATGCTCTGTGTGCTGGACTTTTGGGCACCCCACCCCACCCTGCCCCCTGCTGGCTCAATGCTGCTCCATTAGGAAGTCGAGGCAGCAAGGCTGCTCGTGGGGTGGGGGGAGTCACCGGAGCCTGTGGGACAACCTCCTGGGCTATAGCCTCTTGAGCAGGGTCAGGAAACTGAGACAGGAAGTCCCCATGGTGCAGCTTGAGATGAGGGAGACTGGGAAGAGTGCACCCGTACCGCCACAGGAAGCTCATCCTCCATGCTCCAAGGGGTCAAAACCTGCACAGGGATTGATCAGGTGACAAAGTCCTGTGGCTATGACTGTTCTGAGTTTATGCATAGAATGAACTACACATGTGCACACACATATACACACAACATGCATGCACACACACATGACTACCCATGCACACACAAACCCATTTACACACATTCATACACATACAACACAAATGTACATGCACACATGACACATACACAGGCACACCTGTACATACACACATGAACATACTTGCACATGCATGTACAGGAGGACATGTACAGACGGCCATTGCACCCACATTGGCATCCACCATACACTCTGAGGTGAATTGTCATCAGGGGACTAAATGAGGAGAACCAGGGACCACTTCATGTTCCTGTTTACAATGCCATGTGACCCATTCATTGATCTCAGAATGAAACATTATCTAAAGTGAAGTCCCCAAACTGAGGTGAGCTTCCAGCTAACCCGATGGACAGGCCTGGAAGCTGGCCTCCATCACAGCTGTGCCTCAGGAAGTGACTCAGGCAGACAGAGCCTGGCATGCTGAGCTCTTTGAAGTAAATGACAGTTACCAGCCCCCATTAGGTGCTGCCCCCCCCAGTACTTGTGGCTCACCCACACCAGTGTGTTACTTAGCAGCCTTCAGAGCCATCCCAGAACAGGAGGAGGACATGCTGGTGTTGCCATGGAGATGGTATCTAGGAACCTCCTGGGTTTGCTGCAGATACTTGGATTTGTTGGGTCACCAGGCCTGCGTCTCTCCCTTGTGGGGATGCAGGGCTGCTTCATGGTCTCTGGGAGGCGCCTATAAGAGTGACACCAGTGGGAGGCAGTCATGGAAGGGCACCCAGCTCTGGCGCAGGCCTCCTGGGGCCTCATGAGGGTCCAGGCATTAGGGAAGGAGTGCAGCACTCAGGGTAACCCCCAGCAGCCTGAGGTTGCTGTCATAGCTTTGGGAAATTGAGACTGAGTTCATAATTGCAGCATCTCCAGTCATGTGGGAGGAGGGGTATGTATCAGAGTGGCAGGTGCCCACCCTCCTGTCATGTCCACACACAACTCTGACTAGCTGTGACCATAGCAATGCCAAGGTTTGGCCATTGACTGGCCAAGATTTGCCTCAAACCAGGCCCCAGTCCCACTGTCTCTCATGAAGACCTCACTATTATTTCTTTTATTTCACTGCTGGGGATGCTGAGGGTCAGAGATGTTAAATAACTTGCCTAGAGTCACACAGCTGGGACATGTCATTTGAACCCAAGGCTGTTTACTTGTCTTCTCCTAACAACTCCCTTCCATACTCAGAGTGGCCACTGGAGACCTCTGTGCCTCTCCTGAGCCTTCCCTTCTCTGAGCCCTCTTTCCTCACCTGTGGTCATTCATCTACCGTTGGGCCCACAGCGAGCTGTGGATGTCCTGCCTGCACTGTTTCCCCATGATACTGGGCTGATGGGCCACCCCTACCATTCATTTAACAGGAGAGCAGAATCAACCATACTCTGGGAAGTCTGCCTCTAAAGGCCCCTTGTCAGAAGAACTTAGAAGGAGACCCATAAACGTGGAGACGCCTTTCTCTTCCCAGAAGCAGCTTTTATTTGTTCACTCAGCCTCTGGAGCCCCCCCCGGCTCCTCTCATCCAAGAGGCAGGTGGCCTGGCCTCTGCTCCTCTGTGTGTCCACGTGGGAGGTGGGGTGGTCTTCATCTTTCTCATGGATTGGCACGTGTGGGTGGTCAGCGAACACATCCAGGGATGTCCCTTGGACTAGGAGGAGGCTGTTCTATCTCCATGTTGACAGGAAGCACTCTGGGACTCTTACTGAACCTTGGGGCCAAGATGCTCAGTGAACCTCAGGGTGACACTGTCCTCTCCTGACTACCTGTCTCGTTGCAGGGACGGGCTGCCGTACTGCGAGACCGATTACCACACCAAGTTTGGCATCCGCTGTGACAGCTGCACAAAGTATATTACGGGCCGTGTGCTGGAGGTGAGAGTCCTGGGGTTGGAGCGCCTCAGAAAGAGTCCTGAACCTTGAGCTGTCCCTTCCCTGTACCCTGAGCCCTTAGCCAGACCCTTAGCCAGACCCTTAGCCTTTTTCTCTTCATACAGAGTTCCTGTTTAGGACAGTTCAGGGAGATACAACATGTAATCTCTTATGGCCAGCACCTTTCCCAAGCCTGACACTCAGATGTACACACATCAACATGAATTACACTTCCTTACATGGGACCTGGGATTCCATAGACTGATGGCCTTTTGCATTCTCTAGATATTAAAAATTTTTTTTGCTTTATTTTTATTTTATGTGTATGTGGTTTTATTATGTGTATGTATGCAAGTGCACCTGTGTTGTGCAGTACGAATGGAGGACAGAAGAGGGTGTTGGATCCCCTGGAACTAGAGTTACAGATGGTTGTTTGCTGCCATATGGTTGTGGGAATTTGAACCTGGGTCTTCTGCAAGAACAGCTCATGCTCTTAACCACTGACCCCCATGTTCTCTAGATTTTTACCATGGTAGATAAGACACGGCGAGCATCTTCTCCTTCGGACACATTCACTGTGTGTAGAAGCTAGGTCGAAACTACGAACGTTTGTGTAGTTACTGGCAGTTGTTTTCTGGATAGTATTCTGATCACATACGCCCTCTCCTGCTTCAGCCTTTGCTGATGCAGTGACAGAAACATGGCCCTGGCTAGGCTCTGCCTTTCTCCAGCCCTGAGGCTGGCCGCTGCTCCATCTCTCGAGGCAGTTTGTACCTCTGTGTTCCCCTTCTCTTTCGTAAGTGCTACCTGCTGATGTTGAGTGGGTTGTGTGGTAAGGTGGTGGTGTTCTGTCTCCCTGGATTCTGTGTCTTATCCTGGTATTTATACAGGCATCCCCTGGACGAGGACAAAAGGCCAGCCTGTCCCAACCCCTACAGCACTTCCCACAGTGCCTGGGCCCCGCCGCCTTCCCTGGTGGTCCCTCTACCTTCCTGGGGCCTGAATATACCCAGTACCCTTCCTCAACCTCTCCCCCCACACAAAGATTTCCTCCTGGTTGTTTTGATTTTCCTTCTTATTTATTTATGTATTGTATATTTTGTTTGTGGTGAGTCAAGGTCTCCTATAGCCTAGCTTAGCCTTGAACTTTCCAAATAGCTGAGACTGACCTTAAACTCCTGATCCCTTCTAACCTCCTCCTGCACTGTGCTGTGAGTCCCCAGGGAATTTTTTAAAAAGAGCATCTGCTGCCTGGACAGAGGCCCCTGGGGTAGCTGTGGCTGTGGCTGTGGCTACAACCGTGTGGTCTCTCCTCTCTCTCTTCCCTCAACAGCCCACAGCCTCTCAGGGTCCCTCCCCACAGCACACTGCAGTCTGTGCTCTGTCCTCTCTCTGGGGACCTCTGGTCCACGAGACCCATTGTTTTCTCCCCTTTTGGGCCTGGGGCCCTTGCTGGTCTGCTGCCCCCTTATACCTAGGCTCCAGTGTTGCTGACCGACCACACAGCTGTCCCTTTGACCTGTGATCTTCCTCTGAAGTGCAGGTGACTCTAGAGACCAGGTATGGGGACCCCTTCAGCAGAGCTGCACTTGAACCCAGGCTGCCCCCCCACCTCCTGACCTCTGCCAGGGCACAGACGTGGTGTGGCATGGATTAATTTTGTCTCACCAAGTTGTGACCTTGTGGGCTGATGTGGGTGCACCTGGGGCTCCATCTCTGCCATTCCCGCTGCTGCTACAGGCACGGTGTGTGTACCCAACCCACTTCCCAACAGCCGAGGCCAGCAGCCCCTCCAGGAGAGAGGCCCTGGCCTGGGTGGGCAGAACTGACCTGGTCCCATTAGCTCTGCTGTGAGGGAGCTGGTGAAGCCTGTGCTATGATGTGCCCCTTACCTTCGTGCTGCCTGAGGGTGATGCATAGGGAGGGACCGCCTTGTAGACTGACCTGGTCCCATTAGCTCTGCTGTGAGGGAGCTGGTGAAGCCTTACCTTCGTGCTGCCTGAGGGTGATGCATAGGGAGGGACCGCCTTGTAGGGCCATCGGTGTCCCCTCGCTTGAGGGCAAAGCAAGCATGCACCCTGCATCTGCAGAGTGAACATCCTTACTACGTATCTCTGGGCCAAGCGCAGAAGTTGGAATTGGGTGCTGTGGTATGCCCTTGGTGTACGCTGGACTACGTGGAAGGGGCAGTACTTGCTGGCAGGAGCTGAACAGTTCTGGTTTCCCTCCTGTCGACAGTGGAGGAGAGAGGGCCTCCCAGGGAACACATGCTTTTGCTTTCGCCTCTACTGGAGGGAGTGTGCTGCGGTGGCGGAGGTAGTGGAGGTGGCGTGGCTCAGTCAGTCTCTGTGCTGCGGGCTCTGCAAAGCTCTGAGCATCCTCCTGGCGGGTGCGAGGTGGGAGCCGCGGGTGGAGACAGCAAGCTCTGCAGAAGGGAGCTGCGCTGCAGTGGCACCACCTGACGCAGGGCCAGGCAGGCTGGCATCCAGCTGGTGACACTGGGCTCTTGGGGAGCTGCAGGAAGGAGCAACAGAAGAAAGAAAAAAAGGAGCACACAGAGGCTGACTGAGGGTGAGGGTGATACCCTCAGGGCAGGCGGTCCAGGCTCCTGTGCCAAGGAGGGCTGGGGACAGACCTGTGCAGGTAGGAAGCCTGGCAGGGCTGGCAGGACCCGTGGTGGGCCAGGTGGGTGGGCTTGTGCATGAGGCTGCCAGAGGCACCTTTCATTCCCCCTTCATCCTCTGAGATGCTCATCAGCACCCCAGCTGTCCTCTCCGTGGAGCCCAAGTAGAAGCCTCCCGGGCTCCCCCACAGCAGCCCTTGTTTGTCTGAGGCAGGCACGCTGCCATCTTAGGCGCTGGGTGCCAGAAGGGCTGCCAGTGAAATGTGCATTCCTGGAGATAGAGGAGAGTCCTCTTCCCTCTTTTCCTCTGTCATTCCTGTCTCTGACATCTGTCCTGAGGAGCCTGTTCCAAGGGGGACAAAGAGGGGCTTCAGAAGAGATGGACAAATGGGAGCAAGTGTGGTGTGGCTGGTGAGACAACGCCCAGACCTGCTACGGGGCTGCAGACCTGGAACATCTGGGGTCACCCTGCAGAGAGCTGCAGCTTGCTGGCAAATTCGTGAGGAATTAGGAGCCCCTCAGAGCTGGGTATCAGGTGTGGAAGAAGGAGACGTGCCTGGCTCAGTCCTTAGCTAGCTTAGACATGCCCAGAGCTCAGTCCTTAGCTAGCTGTCCTGTCTGCTTAGTTTTCCTGCAAAGGTGGGGTGAGCACGACTGCTGTGTGGGTCTAACTCGGCTCCACCCTCTGTTAACTCTGACAGTGCCATGGTCTGGGCCCCACTTTCAGTACCACCTGGTACCCATGGCTATCTCCATGGTAACAGGAAGCCCAGGTCTTTCTGGGATCACTAATTAATCCCTTCCTCACATTTTTCCTCTTATTGTTACTTCCCAGTTTACCGTATAACTCCTGCTGGACTCACTGTGTCTCACCCTGAGCTGGGGCCTGGCCTCATAGAAAAGAAAGTGACAGGGTCCATGCCCTGAAGGATGGTGGTGTCATGTGGAGCTCCCGGAGTCTCTGGAGGAGAGGGGTCCACTCAGGCTGCTCTGCCCTGGGTCAGGGACCACACAAATGTCCCTCCAATTCCTCACACTGTACCCTGTGGTGACAGGGTGTGGTTGTTGCCCCTCCCCTCTCCCGTAGGCACTTTCCTGCCACCCCTTGGGCATGTGCCCTTTACCACTGGTGGAGAATAAGTCATGTTTCCATATAGAGGAGGGCATTTCCTAAGGACAGCAATGAGGCAACTCTTCAAGCCCCTCCAAACAAATGCGTTTAGTTTAAAAGCATATTCAAAAGACACATTAGCATATAAAACAAACACTAAGATCATTCTTGATAAATGCTGGCACCCAAACTATTCAGCACTTAGAAATGGATCTTTTTATACTTTGACTACATACACACACATTCACATATACATACACACACATTCACATATACATACACATTCATACATGCATACACACATGCATATACATATACACATATGTATACATACATGGACACATACATACACAGGCAACCCACAGACTTACACATGGACATACAACACCCAGAAGCTCATAGAAAGACACAGGTACACCATACACAAGGCTACAAACACAGAGACAGAGACATAGACAGACATACTACACAGAAATATACATTTGTGTATATATACATACTTAGAGACATACAGACATAGGTCTGTATAGACAACACACATAAGTGCACAGGCACACATATACACAAACATACATACAGACACACAAACATACACAGAGACACACAAGCTCACAGAGAGAGACAGACACAGAAATGTATTTTGACAGCACACAAGTGCACAGTCATGCAGACATACATGCAGATACACATAGACACACGAACACACATGCAAGCACATTCAGGACAAGCATGTGTACACCACTGTAGGCTGGGATCCTCGACTGTTCCCATGTGTTTGGCAAGAACCCTCTGTCCCCAGAGTGCTTGTGAGTGACTGTGGGCCTGTGTCCCCTTCAGAACACCTTTCATGGACATGTCCCTGGATAGGGCCCTAAGAGTATTTGTAGAATGTGGGCAGATGGCACCACTTCCTAAAGCTGACTTCCCAGGTAGAGCTGATGGTAAGGATAAAGAGGGGAGAAGAGGGGCACCTGATGGGCCTCATATGTTGGGAACAGATCCTGAGACGTGAGGACCCAGTGGGGTGGTCAGGGTTAGATGAACTTAGGGATAGAGCTGGGGTCTGGGGAGAGCTTCAGACCTCCCGGGGCTTTTCTGGACATTCAGGAAGTTGGGCTTTCCTCTTGGGAATAAGTGACCCCCTCAGTGTCTCTGGTGGAAAAGCCCTGGGGGCTGGATACCGCTGCAGCCAGCAGACCCTCTTGGGTTGCATGGTTCCCACTTGCGGTTTGATTCTCTGCTCTATAAATTTCATTTTCTCATTGCACC